GAAGACAAAGAAAACACTGAAATCTGGTGTTCATGTGATGCTGCGAGTCAAGTCTAGTTGTAAAGCCTGAGGTTTCAGGTCAGATTTTGGGGAAGTTGTTCTGATCACATCGTACATCTTTACATATTAACTTCACACGCACAGGCTCAAAAAATATGATGACAAAGGTAGAAAATTCACTTAAATCCTCAGGAGGTATGTCTTTCACCAAGTTTTGATTTAGTTATCGTGACTGAGTTATTATGAAACCTGTCAAAGTGCTCGCAATCATCAGATTGATCCACTCATTGAAGCGGTCAGAAGCACAGCTGATGTTACAAAATGTTTTTTCCACACGTGGTGTGCAATTACACAACTCCACCAGAGAAGTATCCAAATCCCCAAAACATAGATAGTGTGGCTTTAAGGTAAAGGGAAAATATAAGAAGTTACCACAGATCTGTAGATAAGCTAATAGGGGGCCATCAAAAAATAAATAAATAAATAAATAAGTGTGAACAAAAATTCCATATGTCTTTGTTATTTTCTGACAAATTTATCAATGCATTCATGCTCTGAAACTATCAAATCCTTATGGTAATACTGTGTTGGTGTGACTGAATAGCTGCCGTTCAGGATAAGCTGGACGCTGGCCACAGCAGTGAGTGTTTCCTGGCTGCTTGAAGGTGGCCTTTGAGTTAAAGCCCTGCCTGTTTGGGGTGCTTTCGCTGATGGCCATCAGAGAGGGCTGGAGGCTCAGGAGGGCAGGGGGATCAGAGATAGGAGAGAAAGGCCAGGCTTTTTTGTGTTTGATGGAGGCCTTATCATGCCGAATGCTGGCCCCTTATCACTCCCAACCAACCGCTATCAGCCAGCCCGCTTGGCCCAGGATTATCCCTCAAGGGCAAATCCACCTTCACTCAATCATCTGCCATCTCCTCCCCACACACACTCACACCCCACACACTCCTCCTGCCGCTTTAGAAAGCGACTCACGCTAAGAATGTAAGAGAAAGAGAGTTCAGTAGAGTGTTTTGAGTTGTTGCAGTTTAGCACCAGAGAAAGAAAATAGCAAAAGCAGAACTTGCGTGGCTGAGAAGAGATGTGGACATTTGGTGTTTAAATATTTAACTGAGCAAAGTATGCTAAACGCCTATTAAACCTGACGAATGGTTAGAAGAAGCAAGACTCAGTGGTTTCAGAAAAAAACATATCGGGGCTTTTCTGTGAAGCAGCCATGCTTATGAAGGCTAATGCTAACCGCAGCACCGTCTTTGAACAGCAAGAATCTTGTTTTGTGCCTCTTTCAAAGATCCAAATCGTCCCCTGGCAGGTCACCTCTTCTTGACACTGCCGCATTGTCTGTTTCCTCTGTGTGTTTTCAACCGCAGAACTATTGATTTTTGCAGCAAAGCAGTCTGTAAAACGAATGAAGCAAGAAGTTAATGTCACCAGATGACTAGTCGATCGTTCCAGCATTTGCGGTTTAATAGCCGGTTTTGCCCGTTTAAATGGCTGACGCTTCGAAATGTCACCATTTGAAAGTTTGGGTGTTTTTTTTTTCTTTTTGCCACTTTTAAATTTAAGCTTTTAATATCTCTAGTATAGAGAGAATGAGAGAGAAAAACAACAGTGAAAGGTGTTGGTAATGGGGCTTTTCCAGGTGTCAAGGGTGAAAGTCAGAGAAACGAAGTGAAGAAAATGGGAGGACAGCGAGGGAGGGAGGGAGGGGGAGGGAAGAAGAAAGAAAGAAGTTAGCAGAGTTAGCGTCTTGAGAGGCAGCATGATGAGCGGAGTGTCATCTTTGACATGATTTCCTCCACAGTCCTCCACTGCTTCAAGTGCTTTCTCTAGCCAGGCCATTAGCCCTGTCCGCCGCAGGAATGGGCCTTGGGCTGGACGCTCACTAATAGTCCTGGGTGAGGAGGTGGAGGAAAGAGGGGGAGCGAGAGAAGGAGGAGGATGGAGGGGGCCTCATCGTTAGCCCAGAGAGTGGAGGAGTGTGGTAGATCTACCAGCAGCCTTCGGGAACTCTGTCAGAAGCTAGTGAAGATAAGAGATTATGGGCTCTATTATAGAGATGAGAGAGGGTTCTTTTTTTTTTTATCCATAAAAGGGACTTCTGCAGCTCGCTGTGAACAATGGAGAGTCTCAAGACTGTTCAACCTCGTTCTTCCTTCTCTCACACAGTCTCCTGCCTTTCTGGTTTCTAATGAGCCACATCCATAGATAATACGTATAAACCACTGAAATCGTGTCACAGATCCAGAGGTCAGTTAGAGCCATACATAGTAATGTGATGCTACTTGGCTGGTAAACTGGTAATTGTTCTCTCCATGAATCATAAAATCACTGGTTGTCTGTGGCAGTTTGTATATGGACATATTTTTAGAAATGTAGAAATGGCCATAGGGTGCCATGTTTTCCTGTAATAATGTCCCATTTAAAAACTTGAAAAAGTTTAATGTCATTGCTTCAAAAAGTTGAGAGTAACTGCAAGTTGCGTGTGTATTTTCTAGCACAAGCATCATCAATTAAAGTCCTGGAGGGCTGGAGTCCAGCCCAGTTTGGTGATTTCCCTGTTCTAACATGCCAAATAAATCTAGTAATTAACAAATGAGTTGAATCAGGTGTGTTTGAGCAGGGAAACAGCAAAACTGTGCTGGACTCTGGCCTTCCAGGTCCAGAACTGATGGCCCCTCTTCTACCGTTACTTGAAGAATCGTTAGCAAAGTTAGCTGTCAAGCTAAGCCATGGTTCTCAACCCTAGCCCTGTTGTACCTCTTCCTTGCATATTTTCTTGTTTTCCCTGCTCTAATAGACCTGACCCAATTAATCAGCTAATTAACAACTCCTCCTGAGTTGAAGAGGAAGTGTGCAGGGCAAGGGTTCTCCAGAAACCAGTGATCTATAGAGTTGTTCATCTAAATAAAATGGTTTTGGTCTTTTTTAAGAAATGGGCTCCACTCTTTGAAATGGAATCACCTTGCCTTTACTAACACTCATTATAAACACATAACCCATAATTAGCCACATATCACTAGAAATAGCATAGAGAGCTTTCTAGGTTTCCGAAGAGGAAAGACCTCATTGATATAAGGGCTCTGAGTGGGTGGACAGCTGAGAGGAAATGAAAGGAGGAATCATACACCGCCATGCACTGCTCCGCTTTTCATCTGTAATACGACCACTTTATTTACATTGTCAGTGCAATGCTAAGGAATGACCAGTGAGTTTGTCATACAGATCCAGACAATGAGACAGACTGCAGCAGAAAAAAACCTTGCTAGTTTGAGTTGTACATTCACAGTCTCTGGCTTTGTCCTCTATAACTCCTTAAAATCTTTCCCCAGAATAGCCGAACTGCATCCATGTCCATGTTGGGCAAAGTAAAATGTATGTTTTCTTTCGCTATGTGGATGAAACACAGTGCTGCCTTTATTGTTAGATGCACTGTGATATGTTCTGATTAACACAGTGAAGTGAAATGCTACCAATTTCAAAACAATTTTTTTGTTATTCACTTGTTGAGATGTAAACAACATCACTCAGAGTGGTTTGATGAGAAAGGTTCATTTTAGAGAAACCTACTGACTGATTTCTTTACAGTGGTGTTGATAGGAACCAGGAGTCATGATGTTTACAACACAAATACAGCCATTTTATTTACTGTCCAAATCCACCAATGAACCTACACTTGAGTTTTTATATGTAATGTTGATAATGGTAAAATATATATTTTTTTAAATTGATGAATTCAGATTAATACAAATTTGTTATTGATTTATCCTATCACAGTAACAAAGGCAACTAAGTATGTGAGGCAACTAAAATGTGAGGTTTATTCCTGTGTGCTTGCTCAAAATGGTAGTTTGTGACACCAAACCTATGATTTTTGGGTTTGTTAGATCATATTCTTTACATATCAAAATAACCATGCTGAGAAGACAAGACCAATGTACGAAAATTATGTTTTTTGTTTTTTTTTACTTTATATTAATTTTTAGGGTTAAAGAATAAGGCTTGTATTCAAAGTGTGGTGTGAGTTTGTGATCTTTAGTGAGGCTAAAAACCTGCCCTACTGCCTGATTGCTACCTGCCTGATTCCTATTCTTCAGATGTGTCTCCAAGAGAGTTACGTAGAACAAAAAAAAGCCCAAATGCAAAGCTTAACCTCTGCCCTATACAAAGCTCCTATTTCCTTGTCCTTATCTCCTCCCCTGTCTTTCCTCCAGCTTTCTACCCCTCAGTCAATATGTGCTTCCATCCCCTCAGTCTCAGAGTCTGTTGTCCACACTTCTATCGGTGCCCTTTCTCTTTGTTCTGGCTTGTACTGCTTTCTTTCCATTGCTATTATCTTCGTTTCTTTGTTTATATGTTTCTTGCCTCCTTACCTTATTCACCATTTGTATGCTCTAGGCCATCTTTTATCCTCTCTCTCTCTCTCTCTCTCTCTCTCTCTCTCTCATGTCTCTCTGTGAGTGATGTTGTATTAAACACATCAGTGAAACTCAGTCTCTCGCGCTCTCTCTCTTGCACTGTCTCTCTGCTGATAGCTACAGCTCCGCTGTCCTCTTTTCCAGTCATTAAGTCCACTGAGGACTGTGGAGTGATGGGACTTTCAATGAGGAGACTCTAATGCACTGTCATAGGGTTGGGCTTCTGCTCAGGTCTGCCGGCTCTAATGTGTCCACAGCTGAAGCACTGAAGGATCATTCACTTGTTTTATCAGCAGATAAACTGTTCGCCTCACTGCGCTTCTAATTATCTTGAACTGCACTGAGAGTTTGTGAAGCGAAACGGCTTTCGACTCTAGGTTAACGGGACTGCTGCAACCTCTAAGTGAAACTGTGAAGCTTATCTTTGCATCTCCAATATCGTTTATCGAAGGTTTTGCTCTATTATTTTCTGTACGAATCTCATGCTTCATTTGGTAGCTGAAATTGCATACAGTATGCAACAGGCTCACTGTATGATGGTTTTGATGAAATAATGATGAATAACACCCTCTCTCTCCTCAGGTTTCAGATCGCTGTGTGGTGGCGCTGGTCCCGAAGCAGACATCCTCCTACAACATTCCTCCCTCAGCAAGCATTTCCCGCACATCCATAAGCAGATATGGTGAGTGTTTGGAGCCATTGACAAAGCTACTCCACATCCCATCCTAAGAGAAAGATTGACATTTATATAAAATAGATTGAAGATGATTTGCCATCTGCATATATTAATGCAGACAAATGCAGACAAAACTAAAATCCTTGTGAAAAACACATTCATAAAGAGTATGTAACATGAACTGTGCCTGCCTCTGTACAGCTTTAAGTGATGGCTCTGGTGACAGTGTTTACTCATGTGTGTGAGCTGTGTGCTGCAGTTTGCTTTACAGCCCAGAGGAAGCCCTGGGGAGGCTGCAGGGAGCGAGAGAGAGAGGTGTTAGCATTTTCCAAAAAGCCTAGTAATGCTGATTCCTCAGCTGACTTTGGACGCTAGCCGTGATGGGCACATATACACATTAGCGCCCTCCCTTAGCGCAGCTCTGAAGGAGTGCCACAGGGCTCCCCATCTGGTCTTCTCTCGTTTTCCAACACGGAGCTGCAGGCCATTCTCTGATTGCTAATTATGCGCTGCAAATGATACTTCGCACAGGCAAAAGCCGCAAACGATGCACAGCCAAATACCGCAGCTCCGATTGGCTAGAGCCCGGTGCGCATTGTCACTTAGCAACACTGCCAGCTTCACGCGAATATGTCACCCACCTTCAACTGGCTGGATCAGTGTGAAATGTGTCCTACCATGCAGCCACATTAAAGAGCCGAGTTAATCAAAGCCCTGGAATGAATTTCTCACTTAGGTGCAGTTTAACAAACATAATTATCTTCCCTTATCATTTACAAACAGACTGACATTTAAAATGCAGGTAACAAAAGGGAAAATTTCAAAAGGGGAGAAATTCAGACAGATTAGAAACTCAATCAGCACCTGTTAAACGATGTTTCACGCCAGAAACCCTGACGCTTTTTGAAAACCAGCCATTATTTGTGAGCCTCACACTTCATTTAGCTCCTCACATCACTCCATTACATCCCCTGCAACCTTTTAAGCATTAGTAGTTAAGAGTTTTCATGGTTGCAAGGGGGCACTTCAACTTGTTTTATTACAAAGGGCTTGTTGAATATTTTAGGAAAGTCATAAAATATCCATGTGGAGGCAAAGCGGAGCGCTGTCTCTTTTTTTAATTTTACGGTGTGTGCGTGCACGGTGCACAGAGAGCAGGTCTCTCAGCCCTGCTGCCCATCAATCATAGCATGGCACGGTGGGCACAGCTGCGACGAGGCACCTGCTGATTGATTCATATCAATTTAATGCTCAACACTTACCATTTTGCCTCAATTTAGCATGCCAGCACCCCCAGCCCAAAATAGCACATTCCTCACAAGACCCAGTGGAGTGAAGGAAGGCAAAGATACACTATCTGTATGGAGTTGGACAGCTTTCGCTCTTAATTATGTGCACAAACACACTAGGGCAGCAGATTACGGACAAGATGCTAGTATTGCAATACTGTGTAAAAACACACTGGTTAATCACTTGTGCCAAGTACCATGGTCAAAGAATGACCTACATTATTCTGACCAAAATAATTTACTTTTGTTGGTTTATGTGAATACCTTTTTCATGGTTCATCACAACACTTGCAGAAACACTTATCTGAAACTGTGGTTGGTCAGAGGTGCTGGCTTCATGCAACTCTGAGTTGGGGTGCTCAGAGATCCTAGACCCCTACTAAAACTTAATCCCTACTAAAACCCTACTAAACCCCTACTTGTTCGGTTTGATAGCCCTGCTAGAAAAAAACAGCAGAGGCTAGCATAGCTGGTCCATCACCAAAACCAGCATATATTGTATTTTGGGGCACTGGTATGCTGGTCTAAGTTGTTTTTTCAGCATGGAGGGCTTCAAATAATCTGAAGGACAGAACTGAAGTGCTACATGCAGTAAATGCAGTGTTTAAAGTAAAGAGGCAAAACAACCTAAAACACCTAATTAATCTGTTTTTTTGTGTAGCTTGCTAGCATAATAGCTAAAGCAGCTGAACTTTTAGTAAGCTGTAAAGAAATCTGATCTGTAACCTGCTGAAATTTCAGCTAGATTGCCAGCCAACTTCAGCTAAATTAAATATTGCAGTGGCTAGCATACTTGCTATCCAGACTACATGCTAGCTAACCATTTAAAGTTGGTTTGCCCTTTTCCTTTAAACACTGTGTTTACTGCATTTTTCACTTCTTTCTGTCCATCAGACTGAAGGCTTTACTATAAGGCTTATTATTTGAAGCTGCATCAAACCTGGCACTGCTGCAAGCTGCAGGAGAATAGCCCTGTAGTAATGACTGTGTGTGGTGTAGCAAACTGACAGGCAAAGTCATAGATGTAAGGTAGAAAACAAAAGGTTTTACTCATTTACCACAATAAGGTTGTCTGTCGTAAGTCCCTAGCTCTGCTCATAGCAGACACAATGTAAATAAACATTGTGATTAGGGCATTTACATATTGTAGCCTTCTGCAATATCACAATAATGATTAACAAATGAAATATGCAGTCCTAATAAGGACACATGTACAAACACACTTTAGCAGTCACTCTGTTGCTCAGAAGTGGAAAAGAGGCTGGACTTTGCAGATTCAGACGCATATGCACTTTCCCTCATCGCCAAATCCATTTCCTTTTAGCTCTGTCCTGTGGCTGCAATCCACTCAGAATTTCACTAAAACCTCAGTGTCACCGAGGCCATTTGCCTTGCTTTGTTGTCTTGTGCACTCTTTGAAGCCAAGTGAAGAATGCAAGCACAAGAGCGAGATAGAAAGAGAGCGAGCGAGCAAGCAGGAAATGTAGAGACTGATCTGTTCTCCCCAGAGAGCTTTCTGCCATGAGGTAAAAAGACATAACTCTAATTGCTAGCAGTGTGACGGAGTCTGATGGCTTAACTTATTAGAAATCTTTAGATGCATTGATTACATGGAACGACATGCTCTTAAAGCACGTCAGAAGCACAATACATCAGAAAGAGCCAATTATAAAGCTTTAATGATCAGAGTGGGGAGAGAATCAGCTCATTGCAATCAGCCTGAGACCAATCCTCTAGAGAGAGAAGGAAAAACAAAAAAAGGAAGAAGGAAAGGGGGAGAACAAGAAGACCAGTCACTGGTGTATTTAATGAAAAAAAACAAGAGAGGTGAATTGCTCCTTTCTTCCATTTGGTGTAATATGTCATTCACACGGAAAGGTGTCTATCTCTGTCCCTTTCCCTCACAGCTCTCCAGCTATATCTCTGCAGCTCTTCACTTATATGACACTAACCCACTCTCATACAGCTATCCAGCAGGAGGCTTTGGTTATGGAATGAATTGTAATTAACTGAAAGGGGAAGAGATTAAAGTTGGGTGATACTCATGCATAAATGTGCATCTTGTAATTTTCCTACTTGGTAATGTAATTTTTAGTAGTGTCTGCTGAACAGGTTGAGCTTAAACAACTTTCTCTACTGTTCAAAAATTCCTTCCACCTCAAACTCTTACATTTGTTCTTTGTGCTTTTCACAAAGTGCTTTTCAGTTGGTTGTATCTGTGTTGTAGGTCATTGATGGCTATTTTCACACCATTAAACATCCACTTGAAACTAAAGTGCAATGACTACTGTTACCCAATCTGCGTACCCTACTTACTTTGCACGGTGCATGCGCACCATTGTCACACATGCTTAGAAAACATAACTTTTACCACCACCAGCTGGCATGACCCAATCTGTACCTCACATGTATAAGCATTTTATAGCAGCTAAAATTTGTAGTTACCCTTAAGAAAACAATCATATTCTTCAGTAGTAATTATGTGTACATTTTACATTCCTCCCTGTTTAATTGGTGTGTCCTACCTGATTTCCTACCTGAGATCTATAAGATAGCATTCTTTCTTACTATGTAATGCGTACTACTTAGGTCATCATATAATGGCTACTATACACAAACAGCGCATTGTTTGTTTAAATGAGAGCCATTTATATTCAGTCAAAGCTGCACATCCCATCTACCATTTAGTGCACTATTTGAGTGTAAAACCCATAATTTCTAATGCTCTAACCTGAATGTTTTCACCCGTAGAAAGAAAATGAATACTAAGTAATATTAAGCTATGAAAGAGAATGAAACTGCTTAAATAATGAGTTCAGCATTAAATGTTAACAAGAAATATATATTATTTTTTAAAAAGGACGTTAGGGTGTGATTACTCTTTAATCATCAAAGTGGTTGATACTAAAAGGCAAAAAGAATATCTTAGCCAGGGCTGTTGTGGAAAGTGTATGTAAGGGTGCTTATGTTTGTCCATAAATGTTGTGTTTTTGCATAAACTGCGAGGTCTCTCCTCAGACTCGACGTTCCGTTATACTGGAAGTCCAGACAGTCTGCGCTCGCGAGCCCCTATGATCACTCCTGACCTGGAGAGTGGGGTGAAGGTGTGGCACTTGGTCAAGAACCATGAACACGGAGACCAAAAGGAGGGCGACCGAGGCAGCAAGATGGTATCAGAGATCTACCTCACCCGTCTGCTAGCTACTAAGGTAACACTTACCCCTGTGCTCAACTGTAGAAGTGTCCACTCAGAGTCAGGTATCTTTGTGCTGCATATGATTATAGACGTTAGGCCATTTCAGCTCAGCTTATGTGATCTATCTAAATATTTACTCAGCTGCTTTAAGTTTGTATTTTTGAAATGTATATGTGCTAGTATTTTCCTACTTCTTATTTCTTTCATATAGAGTATTCAGTAAGGTTCTGGGTGTGTATGTATGCTAAGGCACTCTCTTTTGTTGCTAACCTAGGGTACACTGCAGAAGTTTGTCGACGATCTGTTCGAGACTCTGTTCAGCACGGTCCACAGAGGCAGTGCTTTGCCCTTAGCCATCAAATACATGTTTGATTTCCTGGATGAACAGGCCGATAAGCATGGCATCCACGACATGGATGTGCGCCACACATGGAAAAGCAACTGGTAAGGCTAAAGCACGGTGGTCCTAAATAAATACATGATTACAATTATGCTTAATTTGCATCTTGAGGATAATGTCACTGTCAGTAAAAAAACAACTTTATATTAGAAGAACAAAATGTTCTTAAATTGAATGCATGTTAATATAACAAGATTTTATTTTAAGTACTTTCCACTGGCTATTTATATTGGTCCATTTTCTGTGGATTGTTCATACGGTCTAAGGGATAGCTTTTTGAAATAGTGTAAAAGCTTAACTAAAATGAAAAAAATGTTACAAGGTTTTCAACAGCAAGGGTAACATCCTGAGCACAAGTTAACATAAGGAGTGACTATAATGTCACAGTTGTAACCTTGGATCTTCATTTTTGTAGTTTTTCTTTTTACAGTATTTGAAAATGCTGCCTTTTATAATGTTCCAGAATTACTTGGAAAGATTTCAATTTTATTCAATGCTAGGAACATTTTCCCTTCTGCAAATTTACCATTTTAAAGATAAGGTTTTGTTGCAACAGTATGCTTGACAAGCAGGACTCCTTATGCATGCGTAGCAGTGTCGTAATCATTTTGTCTTTCTTTTTCAGCCTTCCATTGCGATTTTGGGTGAACGTAATCAAGAATCCTCAATTTGTGTTTGACATCCACAAGAGCAGCATTACTGATGCCTGCTTGTCTGTCGTGGCCCAGACATTCATGGACTCGTGTTCCACTTCAGAACACAGGCTGGGAAAAGATTCGCCCTCCAACAAGCTGCTATATGCTAAAGACATCCCTAACTACAAAAACTGGGTAGAGAGGTGAGATGCACAGTGCAGCTACTTGTTACCTTCTTTTGTTGTAGTAAAGATTATTCCAGAACTTTTGTATATAGCTGTTTATGGCTCCACAGTGACAATTTAGATAAGATCCAATGACAAAACTCATAGTGATGTTACATCTGCAATAAATGGTAAGAATATTAAAGGAGAATTCAGGCCTAAAACTAGCATTTAATATGTTATTTGTCATGTAACATGATATTCTGTAGCACATTGTTGTATCTGTCAGATTTGGTATCCTTTTTCTATTTCATCCATCATTGTTGTCTTAATCCAGTGCCCAGCATTATAATTATGCAAGTATGCCATACAACCATTGGGAATCCCCCTCACTGCTAGCATATCTTCTGATGCAGAGGCTGATGAATACAGATGTGATATTCCTGCCATTAGCTATTGGACCCACAAGTTGGTGGGGAGGGATGTCTGTAACATCAAACTTACACTTTAAAATTTAACATAGATTTGCTGTATTTACTAAATATCTGCTATCTGTGCTGAACAGTATCGCCCTCTGACTGTGTCTGCAGGTACTACGCTGACATTAGCAGGCTGCCGGCCATCAGTGACCAGGACATGAACGCGTACCTGGCCGAGCAGGCACGGCTCCACTCCAATGAGTTCAACATGCTGAGTGCTCTGAATGAGATCTACTCTTACGTCAGCAAGTACAGCGAAGAAGTGAGTTGCTGCAAACACACACACACACACACACACACACACACACACATACACATGCATGCATCCACACATACAGAGAGAGCAAGAGAGTAAAGAGAGAGGATGAATAGGGCTCTGATGAGGAAGATTACACACAGCCGGATCACTACCTGGCTCTCCTACACAAAGTGGAGCAGAGTGGGCCCCACGATGGAGATGTTCCAGTCATAATGGCAGCTCTACTCTGGGGACCCATTAGCCTGACCTTTACATTACGCTGCATTGAAAGGAGCCCTGAGAGCCTAGAGACGCCACTTTGCCAGCATGGTGTATATTTCTCTATTTCTGTTTCTCTCGCTCTATCTCTCTTTCACTCATGCACATGTGTCTTTTTTCTCTTATTGTTGGCTAGTCCACTACACAAAAAAGACACTGACTTCATGAGAAGCAAGTGAAAAAGCCAAAAATAAAGTTTGGATAACATTTATTACTACTGATTCTGTTTGGGAGAATTGCTTTTAGTTTTTCAAAGAAATCCTCAGGGATATTTTTCCACACCTCTAAAGTTCAGTCTTAAAAGTTGTTTCAGTTTTTTGCTTCTCACGATCCAAGCAATCCCGAAAAGATTCTTGTGTGGCCAGTTCATTGTTCTGAGAACACTAGCAGCTTCTTTGTTTGATGTGAAAGTTTTTTTGTACCAGCTTTTGTACTTCTGGGCAGCTTCTACAAATAGCATTGAGTTTTCTACTCAAGGATGGACAGAAACACCTGTGGATTTTTTCAGATCTGAAGCAAGAGTGGAGCTTGATTTTCTCCTGTCTCGAAGATGAAAGCTTTACTTATACTGTATACTGTTTATCTGATGGTGACAGTTTTGATAGTCTACCAGGTCATTTGTTTAGAGTCCTATTCTCTCTACATCTTTTAGTCATTTTTTCAAACTCGAGATTTGGATTTTTTTTTTCTGATTTTTCAACAGTATTTCATTATTTATTTATAGATCTGTGCATTCGGTTCAGCTTATTTCTTCAGAATTTGCATGTAAGGTTAATGAAGATAATTAGTGAAGGAAATTAAAACTACATTAAAAGAACAATACAGCATTCCAAATCTCTGTCGTGTTGCCTATACTTAGTAAAATGACCAAAAACTCAATGACTCAAAACACATTTCTATTAGGAGCCAGTGGGCAAGTGCTGAAGCATCTGCCCATATTCTGCCAACGGGTTTTAAGAACAAGTGCAATTAGGGCCATAGAAGACCACCAGCTTTATGCAGCTGTACCAGCCTATAGTACTGAAGACCATTTAGATTGAATATATGTGTGAAAGGGAAAAAGTAACAAGCCCTTCATGTAGCTCAAAATGCTAGTGTCTTTTAGGCTTAGCTAGTGATGCAGAACATCTCTGGCTCCACTGGAATAAAAGGGTGTTTCTCTAGTCCTAGCCCTGAGGGACCCCTGCACTGCACAGCTTAGCAGCTTCTCTGCCCTAATGCACCTGATTCAAGTGATCAGCCAGCCATCAAGTCCCTTCATGAGTTAAATCAGGTGTGCTGGAGCAGGGAGAACACAGAAGAGTGCAGTGCAGGAGCCCAGCCAGCCTGGAGCTGTGAACACAGACATAAAAGATTCATTGCTTCTGCTGTGTATTTAATACACTGCTCACTGGGCGGAACACTCCGAGAGGTATCAGACAGCTGCAGAATCCTTGACACTCACACACATTGACCTTAGAGCGGTCTCGCACTCCTCTAGACTGGCCACTAGGCCTGGCGATACAGCAAAACTCAAAACTTAGTCTCTTGTATTATTATTATCGATAATAATTGCAGTACTTATATAAGTCAGAGACCACCTTTTGCTTTATTTCATTTCCTGTCAAAATGACCATTAAGTACAACCATCAGGACAAAACCAGAAACTACAAATTTATTAGACTAGACAACTAAATATAATATCAAAATTTTCAGTGTTTCGTGTGTCCACCTTTTGATCTTATTACAGCTTGTATTCTTTTTTGAGACACTTGCTTTCAACTGTTCAAAAAAATCTGCAGGGATATTTTTCTTGTAAACAATTCAGTTGCAGAAGTTGGTTGTGTTTTCTGCTTCTCATGATCCAGGGACCCGCAATTACAATTTTAGTCTCATCAGTCCATTAACATTACTCTCCCAGATTGCCAGTTTTGGTGTTCTAGTGCAAATTTTCTCATTTTTTGTTTGAAAAATGATTTTTCTCAATAATACCTTTTTGACAGCTTAAAGTTCGGAATGAAGGTTCGAACATGATTTTCTCCTGTTTCTTAAAGACTGATGATGACAGTTTTGGTGGTCTAGCAGGTCTGAATGTTTGTTAGGAGTCCTTCTGTAGGTCTCCCTCTAGGCCTCACTCTAGTGCAAGTTACTGATGAGAAAAGCTGCCTCCACACTACATGGATCCATGTTAGCCCAGTGTAGCAGTCAAACGTCCCCCAATTTAAAGGCTTCCGGTAAAAGCAGCCTCAGTATGAGTTCCGTCTTGGCTCAGTGAAAGTTCTTGTGATGAGTCAGTTTCCTATTATTCCTCCTCTTTGATATGCAAATGAGCGACGGGCCCCAGTCGCGATGTCACTTCCCCCGGTGTTACTCTGACACAGCCTGGAGAGAGAGGAGACCCTGTCAAAGCCCCCCACCCCCTTTCCCTCCTGCCGTGCCTCCATATACTCAACTCCACTAGGGACAGAATGGACAGATGAAACAGACAAATGGCACTGTGGGAGTTTCTCTTGATCTCTTGGCAAGACAGAGACAATGACATTTCTCCCTTAATGTTATATTAATGCTGTAAAGTCTCAGGTCATCCAGCAGTGACCAGCGGCTACCATGTGTCAGCATTTCCATCAGTGCCATGCATTCAATATGATAACTCTGCTGTGTTTAAAGACATTGTGCTCTCTTCCTGGTAGCAGGTGATACTGGCCTATTCACATTATGTAACCTATGAATTCCAGCATACAATACTGTAGCAGTTTTAAATAACAAGAACTTCCTCCTCCAATAATCCTTAACACCAAATCAAGGGCTCAACCAATACTGAAGTTATGGTGAAAATTCTGCACTTGGCAGTCTAGAGTTTACTGTCATTTTGTTTAAATGTAATTATGTACATTTCCATTTACACACTGTATCAGCAAGTTAGATCACTTTTTGCCTTTTCTGTTTGTTAAGAAAGGACAAAAACGATAGCAACAATAGCCATCTCTTTTATTTTTTTTAAATATTAAATAAAAATGGACTGATGGAAATGGCAAGTATCAAATGAATTCATCAAAATTCACATAAAAGTTAGCATGTTTGCTTTTTTGCCAGTAAAAAAGAATCGCTGGTAGCAAAGTGGTAGGAGAGGTAAGGGGTTGGTAGCGTAATGGCAGGAAAGTTGCGGATTCAAATCCCAGGACTGACTGGATATATCTGCTTGTGCCCTTGGGCAAGACTTTAATGGAATTAAAATCAGTCTTCATATCTAAAGACAAAAACATAAAGGTGATATTAGCCAGTAAACAGCAGTGTAAAGCACGATCACTTCCAGATAGGTGCTTTTAATGCAATTAATGGATATTTCCTGATGGATATGTTAGCCAGTGCATCCTATCTCCATGCTCTTACGATGTAAAATACATATGCATACATAAGCCACATGTAGAAATTTAAACCTCTGGTCGAATTATATGTTTTGTTGATTTTCTGAGTAAAAGTTAAAACATCTTCTATAGTGAACAAACTATGATGACATTTTTTAGCAAATTTTAGTGCATAATTTATATTTATTTATTTAACTTACTTTAAACTGGGGATATTTAACATAAATTATAAAATGTGCTATAACATTTTTGCACAGCCCACATAACAAAAAAACAATAATTGTGCATTAAAATGTGCAAACATAATTTGAATAGGGGTGCCCACACTTTTTCATACAGCCTTTACAAGCCATTGTACAAAACATCTTTTAAAAGTAAAATTAATTTTACAGAAATGATGCAGAGTGATATTCTCTTGTACAGAGCTATGTGGAACACAGACAAGAGTGTTCTCTTGAATTTAATCCAATAGCTTGAGTATAAACCCGGCTAATGTAAAAGATGTTTATTTTTTGTGTCAGACAAGACTGTACACACAACAATAACTTTTGAACAGACAATACAAACGTTCTGAAACTTTGAACTACATAAGTGAAATACATTTTTATAAAATTACACCATGCTATTGCCAGCAATAACTATGACTTTTAGAGGTTTAAAAAAGGCTAAACGTATGAAAAATTCACCCATTGTGGCTTCTATAACCCAGAGGCAGTGCTTTGGCAGTCTGCTGTCTAGAGTGATAGTTGATATCTGTCCTCAAATCGGTGATTAAGTGCTGTCTCGTCATAATCAGATCTCCAGTGTCTGTCTGAGATGAGCTGAGATGGGACACGGGCTGGATATTAATGAGTGCCTGATTTGTGTCCCCAGATCACGGCGGCGCTGGAGCAGGACGAGCAGGCCAAGAAGCAGAGGCTGGCCTATAAGGTGGACCAGCTCATCGGCGCCATGTCCCTGGAGAGCTGAGAGCAGCCAGGCCAGACGGAGCGAAGGAACACAGACCCAAACACAGACGCGAAACCTTTACCCAAAGCCTTGTCCTGAGACTCAAATGGAAAAAGGGGGCACAGCTGGCTTTGGGGGCCTTTCGCCAGCGATAGCTTGGTTATTTTTGTTTTATTGAAGTCAAAAGGTTACCTCAGCAAGACCACTGGAAAAGACAGTAAGCTGCAAGATCATCTACTTTTGCCTTCCACCCTGCAAGAGGAATGAAAGTATATATTTTAAGTTGCTAAAAAAAAGAATATATGCTGGCCCCAGCAGCTTTCTGAGGCAACCTGCATTTTTTATTTTATTTATTTTTTTTTTTGTCTCCTTTTTTTATGTGCTTGGCTTTGGAAAGAGTTTGGGATATCTTGAGGAAACTACAACTACAGCTGCTTCTCCTAATCAACTTTGTGTAACTGGTGGTGTGTAAAAAAGAATGGAAAAGAGAGCCAGATGTGCAAATGCCTCAATTTAAATCCAGCTGATGGCTTTTACTTCTAAATTTTTATTTTTATACGCAAGTCATGTTCCTTTAATTCCCTTCTGTTGCAGTGTGCCTCCGAAATGTTAATGCCGTAGAGACATTTGTAGTCCTCCTCGCTGGCTAATGTGATGATGACTAGACATTTCCACATTTTGTCTTTCCAAAAACAGAGGCTGTAACCCACCCCTGTGCATGAACCTTTATCATACAAAGGAAATGAACTCGGAGAAACTCTTCAGGATCCTGCGAGATCTTTTGAAGAATCATCTGTATTTTTAGAGCGCTAACTGACCTCTTAACGACGACGAGTCAAAGTATGTCCAGCATGTGTCTCATGATTGCCAGGACTGCAGTGTGGAAAACGCTGTCAGACCAGCCTCATAGACTTCTCCTCTTGCAGTCTCTGTCTTTGTCCTGTTTTCTACATGTAAGCGTTTGTGAATGTACAAAACTGTTCCACTATTGTGTCCTTTGATTTATTTGTTTTGGAAAAAGGGATCAGTTGAACTGATCTCAGCCACAAGAGGGCATGTAATGCTCTCTAATGCTCTGAAGTCCCTCAAACTCCCGTCCTCATCCTTGATTATCTTGCCAAAATGTACTGAAAAAACTGATTTCAATGCTCTTTACTTACATGGTTTTTAGTGATTGGACAGTAGCAATGAGATTGCCCTTTTGCTCAGCTAGTAAAGTTAACTGGAGTAACTGATTCAGGATCAGTGCTACATACCAGGCAGTATTACTTCTTCCGTATGGTCCAATGTTGTGTGTATTTTGCATGCATTATAAAGTACCTCATAAAGGAAAAGATAATGTCTTCATTCCCATCCGCTCATATTTTCAAGTGCCAAGGGATCGTGCGAGCGGTGCATGTTGCTGGCCGAGGACCACCGCTAAACTTACATCTACACACTACCACCCTAAAAAGTGGGCGCATCCTGATTAAGTGCCAAAAGCTCAGTCAAAATTCATGGACATGTCTGAAACGGTTATTGCTTTATTAAGGGAACCAACAACCTTCAAACTTGAACAGTGAGGACGCAGGGTGGCACTGACAGGGGGAAAAGAACCAGAAAAGACAGAAAGTAGCTGAAACTGCTGCTTTGCTACTTTCTTCCTGCAGTCAAGAACCGGTACGAGAACACGGCAAGATGTAATTTGTAAAATACTTTTGGTGACTGGAGTCGTGATAGCTTGGCTGCATGTTTTTTTTTTTTTCTTCCCTTCTCCGACACGAAATATGTCAACAGCAAGCATGAACAGCTTTCATTTTTAATGCATGATGTCAGGTGGGGCTGTTTTTGATGATCATCCTAACCGCAGTAGACAAGGTTATTAAAGGTTACCAGCAGTGGGAGTTCACAGTGCACCGCTTTGGAAGCCTTCTCACAAACCGCAAAAACTAATGTGGCTTGGAGACTGACCTTTTTTTACATGCTTGGCAGCACCGTATAGTCATGTACTATAAAATACAGAAATCGGTATCAACAGTGTATAGAATGAGATTATTTCTTAAGATAACTAAAACCAGACTCTGCTTCACAGCTGAAATGTTGAGCTATTGATCTGAGAAACACCTCATAACCAGACTTTTCTAGTTTGTCTTGTTCTTTGTTCTTCAGCGTTCTTTGCTCCTTGCTTCGGCAAATTGACTCCGTCTGAGACAGATGAAGATACAGGAGAGACTGATAAAGTAAAGAGAGGATGAAATGAATGGGAAAGAAAGGTGAAGAAAGAGTGGCTGCTTTATTGCTCGGCTATCTTTTATCGAGTGTTTGAGGAGCATAGAAATGAGAGAGAAAGAGTGAGAGAGAAGGAAGGAAAGAGAGAGAGAGAGGCCCCCTTAGTTTCAGTTTCCTGCTCAAGCTTTGAAGCTTCACTTTGATCTCAGCTAGTCATGTGCACACTGAGATCAGGAGATATAAAAAAATGAATGCACATCAGAAATAGGAAAGAGGAAGGAATTATAAAAAGAGTGACATGATTGACATGGAATTAATGTGTCAGAGAGCGTTAGTTAGGCAAGCACTGCGGGAATTCCCACTGTGTGTGTGAATATATATATATATATATATATATATATATATATATATATATATATATATGTATATATGTATATATATATATATATATATAGTCATCAGAAAAGCACTAGCACATGGATTTTATCATGTGGAGAACTCCCTTGCGCACAAAAGTCATGTCATATTCTAGTGACATCAGGAAATACTGAAAAGCATCCTGCTTCAGGCTGTTCGTAGTCTTCCTGTTTTTTTTCTTCCCAAGACAAGCCCATTTCAGATCTAGACTTCTTAAGCTGATCCATCCATTAACTCCTGTCCTTTTCCTTCAAATGTAATGGTAACTTTGATACAGCCCGGTTAATATAGGATATAGGGAGTATAGCTCTGAGGTTTGATATGCTGAACAGATACATTTTAAAGTGCCACATTTTGAAAATGCTGTTTAAACTGAGTGCAGTAATTTTAAAGAAACACAGATTACATGGTGTGCTGCACTGCATACAGTTCAACTCCTGGACTCCATCAGCAAGATTTGAAATTTCCATATCTTTTCACTACAGGGTGAAATCCTCTAAATTGGGCCCTGTCTAAATTGTTGGTCAATGTACTGACCAAGGGACCAATTGTGACATAATTTATCAAGATAGCAATATCATATTGTCATATCGCCCATAGCTGACACCATGGTTTGAAACCCAGGCAGAGACCACCTGTGCTGAGATTTAGACAAATTGTGAACATGATTCCATGGACTTGTCCAGCCCTAAACTATTGACCGAATGACAATTTGACATAGACATTATAACCTCTATAAATATGAAATATATTGCAGATGTCTTGCAGTATACTGTACATTACCATTTTGCATTGTAACTTGCTGTTTCCAATAAGATGCACCTCCCTTCCCTCAATCATTCTGCAGAGCAGAATAAAAACTCAAAGTATGAGGCAGCTGTTTGAAACAAAGTGATTTGCAATGGTATTAACATTAGTGCTACCCTGTTCTACATTTGGCACAAACATGCAGTTTTGTGCATTTTTTTTAGCTCACGTCTTGCTGTTGGTGGTTGAGTAGCATGCTACAGAATTATACTCATGTACTCTTCATATTACCGATCTTACCATTCAAAGGAACAAGAAAACAAGTAAACACATAAACAAAGAGAATGGTTTGTGCAGTCCAAAAGCTACCCGGGTGTAAGTTTCAATTACACACAACTTTGTAAACAAAACTTTGTTTGTAGACACTGGAGGTCTGTAATATAGTTAATACAAAAGATAATAATGACCATGATGATAATAGTACTTATGGCTGTCTGTTCTTGTTGTTTTATAAAAGTGTTGTGAAAACTGTACGAAAGTTAAAGTATTTAAAAAAGTTTGGTCTTTTTTTTTTTTTATTTGCTTTAGTTTTTGTTATGATAATATATTACTGTGTACCTATTGTAAATATGAAGCACACCTATTTTGCAAGCCAAGGATTCACTTTGTACTGTTGTTATATATAAATAAATTTTACTGGTTAAAAAAATGTATACATTATAAGCGAGCTTTATTTCGTCTCACACAAAGCTGCATTTTTTTGTCCTCTCAAGATGAACTGGCAGCACTTGGTGCTTGAATTGAAATGAGCAAAGAAGCTTATTAAAAATTGTCTCTGTTGTTTATCACTTGATCTCGCACTGAAAATTAAAGAAATCTAACCTTTCACTGAGGCCAAGTTATTCAAACAAAAAAAAGGAATGACAAGCTGCTCTCCAAAGCTCAGTTTTACTTGAAATTGTGGATCTAGTCTTTTGTAGGATGCACTACTTTTCATTTTTAATTAAAGCCATGCGTTACAGTGATTTTCCTCAGGTTGAGGGTTTTAAAACTCACTGATAGTTAGGCACTACCAAAGACTGGTGACAGTTTGTGCATAGTAGGGCTGTGATGAACAGCCACGGAAGAAGTTCTCCCCTAATTGTGATTGGTTCAAGGGGTCACTTGACATCAACATCATCCAGTGTTCTCCCGTTCAGCTTAATCCAACAGAGGAAACACAAAAATGCAAAATCTCACAATTGAAATGACCAGTACTGTTTTTATTTGTCAATCAACAGTTCACATAAGAAAAAGCATAAAGAGATTAACAAAAGTTGACAGTTTTAAGAAGTTTTAACTGGATCTTTAATGAAACTGCCTGGAAGACGGAGTTGCAGAGCATGGTTGAGTCTTGGTGTCACCATGTCTCCAAAATAACAATCAGACAGCAACTCCATGCCAGCAAACTATTTGGAAGATTTGTTAGATGAAAGCCCTGCTCACATAACTTCACAACGTCCATCACTGGAATTTTGAACCGAGTTCTGGAGCTTTTTGGTAACAAACACCAGAGATGGTTTGGTGTGAATAGAGTCAAGGCCATGCAGAAAAACGCTGTTTCTCTTTCAAAGGCCTGGGAAATCTTTTTAGAATGTGGCATCATGGACCCAAAATCTGGCTTGTTTTGGCTGTCATAGTAACATCCTGACACAGGTCAGTGGAACATTCCTCCAAATCTGCAAAGATTTCATTCACTGATCTGTTTTTATTATTATTATTATTTTTACTATAATTATTATTATTATTATTATTTTTACTATAATATTTCCTTACCAAAAGGTTAGGTTTTCCCTTATATTTGCAGTGCAATAGTAAGCTGATAATAGCTGATGAACAAAGATTTTTTTCATAGCATTTTGTTCATTTTGACCAAGAGTGTCAGCAATTTTAAGGCAGTGTACATTCAATAATACTCTCATACACAGTAAATACCTTTCTAATTAGACTCTGAATGGCAACAGACATATGTGATAGGGTCAGGGATGCTGAAAGAGGGTGGAAGATTAGGATGATTCTAAGGGGCCCACAAAGAGCGTTTATTTATTTAGTATTTTTTTTTATTTATTTAGCCATTTGACTTTTAGGCTTACTAAAACATTTGTGATTGAAATGCTTCATTCATTAAACAATAATAGCAGATAAGACAGCCGTGCATGCTTCATTCTGTCATCCCTCCAGTGACCCCCTGTGCAAACAGTTAGGCACTACTAAAAACTGCTGATCCCCTGTGCAAATGGCTGATTACGACCAGAGAGTTTTGGTTTTAATTCAAACGAAAATCCCACAACCAATTGCAAATTAGACTTTTAAAAAAAGCAGGAAAAAACAGCATCTTCATTATACATATATCTACATTATCCCTCAACTGAGGTTTATCATTTATAGCTGTATAAAGGACTGTTAAGGACTGTTTTTGTGGAAATTTTAAAGTGAATAATGTATTTGTCTTATATTAGTCAAAAACAGTTCATTATAAAAGTGCCAAGTTGTATCGGTTATGAGAAGCATTCCAAATTTCAGACAGTATATTAATGTGCTGTAATGTTGGGACACATGCTGCTATAGGAAATAAAGTGAGGCAAAGGGCCCATTCATGTTTTTTTTCAGGGAACCCAAAATTCCTACTGATGTCCCTGCATAGCATCAGCAACAAAGACTGGTTAGATTCTGTTCCTATTGTGCAGTACCACAGCATGTATGCATCTCTGTATGTTTTTTGAGGTATGATACACAAATTAAACCTCGCCTCATACTGCAACAGAATCAACCTCATAGAGACAGGCTTTCGGGCCCTTGGGAACAAAATGGCTATCCATTCATCCCACTTAGTCAGGGTTAATCCTAGCATGCAATTTAAACCCTGCCATCAATGAACGCTCACACTCAGGCAAGCAGCATAACAAGATAAGCGATGGTGCTAATGCAGGCTGGTTCTGTAGTTTGTCTTCTTAGCCCACCATTAGCCCCAGCTAGACACTTCTTCAGCACCGTTCAGAGACAAATTACATTGCAGTGGTAATGGAGTAATGACTGCTGATTCAATGCTTGGGCAAAATATCCCATAGGAGCAGCCAAGAATTGAGGTACATGCCGTCGACATTCAATCAGTTCAGACAGTGCTATGAAGCTCAGGCTGCAGAATGTTTTCTGAGGGAAAATACCCTGCAGCCACAGAAATTTGTAAAATTTTAAAACCTCATATGAGACGGTGGCATTGTGGTATGTGCATCAACCACTGACGTCAGTACATGCAGTTTGCTCAGTCCATCGTGATGGACCATCATTTGTCCCTGTCCATTTCTGACAGCCAGCGGGGCGCTGAGAGTGATCACCATCAATGCTAAAATGCCTGGCTAAATGATCTGTGAGCAAATGGATGCTGCTAACCTCCCTTTTTGAGCTGCTATAACCTGTCTATCAATGATGCTTCTACATATGGTCAATAGAGCAGCCAGGTCTATCTCTAATTAGCAGGTCAGAGAAGTCTAATTCAGTCCATCCGCCTTCACGCACATTCATCAGCCATCAGTATCAATAATTAAATAGGCTGCGTCTAATAGCTGGGCATAAATATTTTACCCTGTGCTCCAGCCAGGCCCTTGAATGCCAGTGAATAGATGGCCAAAGTAGTGTAGTGTTTTCCAGAGAATCTTCATTAGAGATGATGAGCTTAGTGTGAAATAGAGACAGTGAATGTTAATGACCTGTTAATGTTTAGAAAGTGGGAAATGAAGTCATCAAAACTGATTTAACAACGTTAGAATCATTTTATGCCAATGGTGTTTATTATGGTGGGATTATAATGCCAAACACTTTACACCAGATTCAGTTTCTAACAACATAGCTATTATCATTGCAGATCAATTAAAAACGTGTTATTTAATGTCTAGAGATGCATGCTTTTGTCTGGTTTGGCAAAATAAAATAATCATATAATCACTGTTCTCCAAGATTGTTATGATTCAATGTAAGCACCAAACAGAGACACGCACACACATTTACATAGTCGTGTTGTTAGTGACGGGAAGGGGTAATCCCTGACTGAATGTAATCTTACACCACTGAGACCAATTCAAAACCGCATGGGGCTTAATGCCCTGTAATGCCTTTATGGGGAACTTGCAGCCGGCTGACAAACCATTCGTTCTGGGTGCAATTCG